GACTGGTGGCCCCCCAGCGCTGCTTGCCAGGGCCCGCTGTCAATTGGCTTTGCAGGCGGCCCTGTGAGGCCGTGACGCCCTCGCGCCCGTGGGCCCCGTTGACAGTGGGCCGCATTGTCAAAGTCGGTGACGATTTTGCCGTCCGCCCAGTTGACAGTCGACAGTAGCGCCCACTGTCGAATTGTAAAGTGGCGGCACGCCGACGGTCGATTCTGGGAGCCCCTTGTGGGGAGGGGGAAGAGGAGGAGCCTTTCCCACCCCGGCAAGCGGGGATGGGCGGATTTGTTCGCGGTTGAGGAATTCCGTCCGACCAGCCCGTCAAGAGTCTGGGACATTTTCGAAGCCGAATTACCGTTCTTCTTGAGACCTCGCAGGTTTATCTTGGAATAGTCTTTGACTACACGCGAAGCGCGATATTTGCAACGTTCTTGGGGTCCGCAGGGCCTTGGTGGGCAGATATTGCCATTCTTGTTTTTTTTTGTATTGTTATTATTCTTGCTCGTATTATGACAGTGAACCCGAATAGTGAGCAACTTTCCAAGGTTACCCTTGCATCCTTCCCTTTCTGCCCATCTTTGGCAGCCTTCGCTGGCCGCGTCCCGCTCGCAAGGTTTCGACATGGCCTCCCAAGGAACTTTCTTCCTTGTCGTGCGTGCTTACTATACGGGTTGGCTGTAATGCTCGTCTTGTTCTCATTCTATCTTACGGGGAAAATCCTGGAGAGGTTTGTCCAACGGGTGTTGTCCGGGGGGGTTGTCCGGACTCCCGCTGGGTGGTCCGAGGGGTTCTCCGGGGTAGGCCGTCCTGTCGTCATTCGGCAGCGCGGGTTGTCCGGGTTGTCTGGGGGGGTGGCACGGGGATTTCTCTTGACTGGATTATTTCTCCATGGAGCGCAGTATGCTTTCGCAGGCTTCGCACTCTTCTTCTGCCTGGTTGGCTCCTCTTCCTCGCCCCTCTCCCGCCTCACCCCCTGGCGGCCGCATCCGCCCCGGGCCTCGCGCCCCGTGTCTGGCGGAGGGCCCCTCCGGCCGGAGGGCGCGGGCGCGGCAGGCGCATGGCTAGCTCCGCCTCCCCCCGGCTGGCACGGCGATCCACCGGCCGACGCCCCGTCCCGCTGGCCCCATGGGTCCGTCCGATCGAAGCGGGTACAGTCGACCCGCGTAGGAAGGATGGGCAACCTTCCCAAGGGTACCCTTACATCCTTGCCTCCTCGGTCCATCCTTCGCCGCTCTCGCTGGCCGCGCCCCGCTCGAAAAGCTTCGAAATGGGCTCGCCAAGGCCCTTGCATCCTTATCGCGCATCCTTACTCTATTGGTTGACTGTATGGAGAGGATGGGTACGGTCGAGATCCGTACGGTCTGAGTGGGTACGATGACGAATGGATGCGGTGGAAATGCCCGTCCCGCTGGCCCGATGGATTACTACGGTCGGAATGGGCACGAGGACGAGTGGATGCGGTGGAACTGGGTACGGGAAGGGTGGGCACGTCAAGGACGGGAGGATCGAGAGACACAAAACGCGCCACACAATGTTCAGGAGGGAAAAAACAGACAGGCACAATTGATCGTCGATTCCCCTGAACATTTTGGAAAATATGGGAAGTGGGGGGGAGGACGATAACCCAGAACATATAGGAAAATATGGGAATCCTGTTACTTGTGTCTATTTATTTGTGTGTCCCAGGGCCCCTTCAGTTTCGGAGCTCCGCGCAGATTTCTCGGATCGGCGTTGGACCTCCTGGGCGTCGCCTCCAGCGCCGACATTTGTGCGCCCCGCGCGCCAGGGAGGGGGATGCAGCGCCGATCTAAGAAATACGCGCGGAGTTCCGACAGATAGGGAGATCAGCGGACGAAGAGCGGCATGGTCAAGACGCTGTCATGAAGAACCATTTTGCGCTGAGATGCTGGTGTTCGTGCCGTTCCTTGACCTTGGTCGGAGAATGTGCACGTGGCCAGCCGTGGCCAGAAGAGCCATTTTGTTGTTCCCTCAGCGCTCCACACGATGACTGGGAGGTTGGACAGCGTCTATTCCGACGGTGGCACATCTGGGCACCCGCTTTCCGAGCCGCCTTTGGACAGGCGTCCCCGATGGTGGAGCAGCTTGTGATATACCTCGGAGGGACGCCAAGAGTACACCACCACCAGCCCTGGCAATGTCCACCCTGGACCCTGGACTGGTGCGTAGATCTCGAGGCCTGAGTTGGTGTATTCATTGGAGCTCTCCTAGTACCGTGCTCCGTCCGCTAAGGAGCGAGCACGAGCCGAGGAGCGTTCGCTGACCGCCTGCACCGCTCCCGGCGAGGCCTGGCCCGGGCCCAGGAGGCACGCGCACAGGTCTTGCGCCTGAAGTCGGCCCGGCCAGGGTCGGTGGGGTGGTCAGCGTTCGACTAGACGCAAGAGTGGCCTTTCGCCGGCATGGCCGGGGGTGCGTGCCTGAGGCCCCCGAAGTAACTCAACGCGAGGCGGCAGCAGCGTCTGGCGCGCCCGGGTTGGGCCTTCCCGCGGCCCCCAAAGCGCCGCGTACCAAAGCTCACGCTCGCCGCATGTTGCTTCCCTCGTGTTTTAAGGACCATATCCCCGAAATAATTTCGAGCACCCGGAAAAGTGTCGGAAAAGTATCGAAGGAGTGTCGCAACAGTGTCGGACGAGTGTCTCCCAGGGCCCGACACGTGAAAACTCTCGAGTTTCGGTACCTTCTTCTGGTGCTCGAAGTTCTTTTTCGTGGTCAAGGCTAAAGTATGGTGGAACATCATAGCTCTTGCCCAGGGTCACTCTTGCGTATAGTCGAAGCTCACGTCCCCCGAGTTTGCGATCCACGTCCGAAAGCAGAGGAAAAACGGGGTTGCTGGCCTCTTGCCAGCCTTGGCCCCCTAGGGGGGGGCTGGCGGATCAGCAAAATATTCTGGCGGTGCGGTGAGTTCCCAGTGTGCGTCGACGATTTAAAAAGTAGTAAGGGGAATGTTGGAAGATATGGCCGAGGAGGACAAGAAGGAGGAGGAGGACGACGAGAAGGAACAGGAGCAGGAAACGGAGGGAAAAGAGGAGGAGGTGGAGGAAAAGGAGGAGGAGGAGGAGGAGGATGTGGAGGAGCCTCATCATCGACCTGCCCCCGCACCCCTCCTGCACCCCACGCAGCCCGCGTACGCCCGCCGAGAGCCTGCGCCCGTGGCGCGGGCCCGACGGGCACACGCACCTTGGACAGGTCGGCCACACGCAGAGGGGTGCCAAGGGGGAGGGGGGGGCAGGCTTCTTCTCAGGAGCACCCCTACTTCTTAGAAGGCCCGAGCCTTGTCAGTAGGTGTAGGGCCAGCGCCCTCTAAGAAGCGGCCTCCTTCTGAAAAGCCTTCCCCCCTCCTACCCCCTTGCGCGCGCCGCAAACTAGGGGCAGGGGACGGTGGAGGGAGGACAAGCAGAGTGGCCTGCTGGCGCCGCGGTGCCACCGCCTAGCCCCACATAATGTGGGGCCGCCCCGCGGGACAATCGCAGTGTCCAGTGTCCCCCCCCTTCCCGACTATGCGCCTCCTGAGGGAGAGAGAGAGAGAGAGAGAGAGGAAACAACACAAACAGAGAGAGGGGGGGAAATAACACTAACACGTCTGAGAGTGGATGGTGAAATGAGAGGGATATATGATGATGATGATGATGATGATGATGATGATGATGATGATGATGATGATGATGATGATGATGATGATGATGATGATGATGATGATGATGATGATGATGATGATGATGATGATGGTGATGGTGATGGTGATGGTGATGGTGATGGTTGTGATGGTGGTGATGATGATGATGGTGATGATGATGATGGTGATGATGATGATGACCCTGATGCTGATGCGGATGCTGACGCTGATGCTGATGCTGATGCTGATTATGTTGATGATGATGGTGATAATGATGGTGGTGGTGATGGTGATGGTGATGGTGATGGTGATGATGATGATGTTGATGTTGATGATGATGATGCTGATGATGATGATGATGATGACGATTATGCTGATGATGCTGATGCTGCTGCTGTTGAGGATGCTGATAATGATGGTAGTGGTGGTGGTGGTGATGATGATGATGATGATGCTGATGCTGCTGCTGATGCTGATGCTGATACTGATGCTGATGATGATGCTGATGCTGATGCTGATGCTGATGCTGATGCTGATGCTGATGCGGATGAGGATGAGGATGAGGATGAGGATGAGGATGGGGATGAGGATGATGATGATGATGATGATGATGATGATGGTGGTGGTGGTGGTGGTGGTGGTGATGGTCATGATGATGATGATGATGATGCTGGTGCTGATGCCTATGCCGATGCTGATGATGATGATGATGATGGTCATGGTGATGGTGATGGTGATGGTGATGATGGTGATGATGCTGATGCTGATGCTTAGTATGATGATGATGCTCATGCTCATGCTCATGCTCATGCTCATGCTGATGCTGATGATACTGATAATGATGATGCTGATGATGATGATGACGATGATGATGATGCTGATGCTGATGCTGATGCTGATGATGATGATGCTGCTGATGATGCTGCTGATGATGATGATGCTGATGCTGATGATGATGATGATGACGAGGCTGATGATGATGATGATTATTACTATTAAGATTCGGATTATGATGATGATGATGATGATGATGATGGTAGTGGTGGTGGTGGTGGTGATGCTGATGCTGATGCTGATGCTGATGCTGATGCTGCTGATGCTGATGCTGATGCTGCTGCTGTTGCTGTTGATGACGATGATGATGATGATGATGATGATGATGATGATGATGATGCTGATGATGATGATGATGATGATGATGATGCTGATGTTGATGTTGATGTTGATGACGATGATGCACACATGCGAATCGTAGGCACAGTCATACATGTATGTACACAAACACAGGTGTATTAGATGTAAGGTGATGTGCAGGGCTAGAGAGAGAGAGAAAGATCGAGAGATAGAAAGAGAGAGCTGCTGCTGCGCCCAGCTTGCGGAGCCGGAGTCCTCGCTGCGGCTGCAGGCAGCCGAGGTGGCCGCGTGCGGCTGGGTGCCGCCCCCCCGGGGAGGGGGGGGGGCGCACCCGCCCAGAGCACGCGTCGGGCGGTCGCGCCTGGGCGGAAGCCGCGCTCGGGAGGAGGGGGAGGAGGATCGGGGGCCCCCACCGCGCATCGCGGGGCGCGATGCGCGAAGCTGGATGACCTGGAATCACAGTCGGAGCGCACCCGGGGAGAGGTCCAGGGAACAGTGGCATCGGCCGACGAGGATGAGGAGGAGGAGGAGGAGGAGGAGAAGGAGGAGGGAGGACGAGAAGGAGGAGGATGAGGAGGACGACGGCAACGAAGACAACGTGCCGTCAGCATTACCCCTGTCAGCAACCGCTGCCGCCATCGTTTTCTTGCTGGAGCAGGCTGTCTATTGTTCCACTGCCCTGTGCCAAGGGCCTCGTGGGCGTTCTCTCATAAGTTGCGCCCGCGGAGTAGTACATCTGCCGGCCAGGGCGCAGATCATTGGAATATTGTTTAAAATGGGATCGGTGATTCGGCGGCCGTGGGCGTTCCAAAAGTTGACGTCTACGGTCAGCGATGCAGAGGACAGGTCGTTCAGCTTCGCGGTTGGTGGTTTGGCGGCGGTGGTTAGATTTGGAGGGCTCCGTTTCATCGTTATTGGTGGATTTGGGGTGTTTTGAGGCAGCGCAGACCGTAGGCGATTGAACGGCTTCATACGACATGGGTCATGTTGTCCCCTATGTTCTTCAAGGGAACTATGTTCTTTACAGGAAGACGTTGCTCGCTCTTCGACATCGCTCCCGCAGGGCACCCAGGAAGACATCCCCTCGAAAGTCTCAAATCCAGAAGCCTCCGTGGCGCGGGTCAGGGCCACGCGGAACATAGCGTGCAGTCGCAGCATGAGAGTCCCATAGTCTAACGTCCTTGGCATCGCTCGGACGTGTGCATGTTTCTTTCGGCGAGGACCATCGAGGAGCATCCTTGATCATTTGACGGAGAAACCACGCACGAAACCGAAAAAAGCACAGGGAATGGACGTCCGAGCGATGGCCAGCATCTGCATCCCCCTTGCCGTGACCCACCGCTTTTCTCCGGGGGGCTGTATCTCAGCCCCTGCTGGTGGATTTACAGCAATCATCGGCGCCAAGGGTGGCAGCGAGGAGGAGGAGGAGCCGACGCAAGAGGAGGAGTTGGAGAAGCAGGAGACGGAGAAGGAGGACGCGAAGGAGCAGGAGAGCATTTAGAGCGAGCACGAGACGAATGTAGCAGAGAGGACCTCGGAATATGTGTTGGCAGCCTTGTAGGGAGACTGTGGGGGATGGCTCTGGAGGCCTAGAAGACCGTTCGGCCAGACACGCTCTGACAGGGCGCTTCGGGAAGTTGTAGAGGGGCCTGAACGGACGGACATAGTCGGGATGCCATGAGGTGTTTCGGTGGAGTCGACAACGGGCCTTGGAACCTCTTCAGGAGTATCATGAGGGGCGCGAGGATACGGGCGAGGAGGAGGGGAGTTGGAGAAGAAAGAGAAGGAGGAGCAAGAGGAGGAGTAGGAGGAGAAGAGTTAGGATATCCTTTGGTTGAGAAGGATGCTTGGGTGATGCCAACGTTTCCTGGGGCGCGCCGTAGAGCAGCCCTGGAGGGATCGGCTCCCGTATAGCCAAATCACGTTTGTAAGAGTTACCCCGTTCTCATTGCATTGCAGTCAAACTGTTGGCATAGTGGCCACGTTGGGCTCAGGAGGGGCTCTCGTGTGCGGCCGCTCAGTCGGGCCTCCATCTACAGGTTGAATATTCAAAAATAGTAAAGCAATAGTCTGGAGACGATTTGTTTTACTAGTTTAGGTTACTCGGTGCAAAATCCGCCTGTCGGGGGACATGCCCGACCTAACCGTGGACAGAAGTGCCTTCTCGTTCCTTCGTTGGCGCTCCCTGTGGTAGCACGTGGACAGCAGGAGCAAACTGCAGCAGCAGTAAGCAAGCATGGGTGTGAAGGCGGGTGTGTCAGCAGAAATAGAGTCAGGGCCAGTGGAGGTATATGCGAGTTTCTGATACGCAGTTGCTCTTATCTTGGGGGGGCGCTCATCGACGCGAGTATAGAGTATGATGCTCGCGCCACCGTCACTATGTTATGTCGTGTGTATGCCAGTCTGCATTTGGGCGCCGTGGTCCGTCCGTTATGGCTGCCCGCACCTTCACAATGGAAAAGTATGAGAGCCTGCCGATGTGAAAGAAAAGCATGGGTTCGCGCCGTTGCGATCTGGGCACGAAGCGGTGCGACACGCACGTCAGCCATCCTTGCGACGCGCACAGCCCACGCAGCGCCTTACAACCGCGCATGAGCGTGCTCAACGAAGGCGTTTGCGACCGCATCCGCGAATAAGCGCGAAAAGCCTGCGTGAGAATCGGAGTTTGCCCGCCGCCCAAAAATGGGGTCCGACCTCTGGAGAAAAGGTTGGGCGATAACAATGGTGTGTAGCAGCGGGCCACGTGCGCGGCGGTGCCCGTGGGTGGGTTGCCGCGCAGTGGGCATGTCGAGGCCCACATGAGTCAGCACCCGTGTCAGCATCATAACCCCTAGAGTCTGCAGGGCGTCTGCATGCGTACAGATTCCTCCAGAATTGAGGGTGCAATCGCAACTGGGGGATGTTCAGGCCTTAAGCCGAGGGTCTACACATGCTCTCCACGTGCGTCAGGTCAATGCGAGGATTATGCGGGGATCACGCGTGGGGGATGTTAAGGCCTTCGACGAGTGCGCTTCAACGTTACCTCAACATGGGCAAGGAATATTCGAGGAGACTCACGTAGGGGAGATACTTGTGCGCCGTAAGGGCCCCAACGAAGCTTCTACGTAGTGTTGTAATGCGCAATTGCCAGAGGACGGTGCGGGGATCACGTCTGAGGTATGTCGAGGCAGTTACCGCGGTGGCGTCAGACTGGCTGGTGCCGCGGCTTTCGCCGTGAGGGCTTCAGCGCGGCTTCAACGCGACCCAGGCAACTTCGCGATTTGGCGGGAGTCGCGCCTGAGGCTCTTGCTGCGAGTGCCTCAACGAGGCCTCACCGCAGATTCAAGTGGCTTACACCATTCCGCCGAACCCCGGAAGGAGTCAGAGCTTGCAACGATAAGGGAAGTTTTCCAGTGGCCTTCGGCCCATTCCGCCACCGTGCGTGGGCTGTGGGTCAGGAGCCTCCTGGATGAATATGGGGGTCTCTTGGGATGCCTTTCAGGAGCCTCTTTGAAGGCTCTTGGGTGCATCTGGGACGCCGTTTGGGCCTCTTGGGAGATTATTGGGAGCTTCTTGGGGCAGTCTTCGATGCCTCTTGTGGCCTCTTGGAGTGCCTCGGTGGCCTCTGGGGTGGGCCTCTTGGAGTGCCTCGGGGCCATCTTAGGGGGAAAGGCTCGACACATCAATTCGCATTCCCCCTCGTGGGCCTTCCTAGGGCCTTCTTGAGGCTCTCTTGGGCCCTCTTGGAGGCCCCTGAAGCCGTCGTGGGGCCGTATTGGGGACATCATTGGCCGTCTTGGGACGATCTTGGAAATTCCTTGGGCCGTCTTCGACGGTGTCAAAACGAGAAAGGCGAGTATGCTGAAGATGGAAGTTTTCCCAAGGGAATGGCACGATTTTCGCTTCTTGGGGCCCTCTTGGCGGTCCTGTGGGAGCACTCTCGTGCTGTCTTCGGCACCTCGTGGGCCGTCTCGAAGCCAGATTGGACCCGCGTTGGGCTACCTTGAGCCATCTTTCCGCTTTCTGGGACTCTTTTTGCGTTCTGTGTTTGGCTCTCACGGGCCGCATTGAGGCCCTGGAGGGGCTCCAGAGGCCTTGGGAATGCGTTTAGGAGCTCGTCCCCCCCCCTCCCCCCTCCAACAGCATTCTGGACCCCAGGGGAGGGGGACACGGGGAGGATGACAACTAAATGCCTCATACGCCCCCCCACCGCCGTCAAGCGGGTGTCGGCGGATTCCCAATCCCCCTTGCAGCGGCAGCGTGGACGTGACAATTTCCCCCAAACAGCGCTTGTGCTTGCACTTGGGGGCTTTTCTTTCTGGTCTAAGGAACGAGGGCCGGGTGTCGGTCTGCCGGTTCCGTTCTCGCCGTCGCCGCCCAGACGCCGCCTCGTGGTTGCCCTTGGTCTGGGCTTGGGTGTCGGTCTGGCGGCTCCGCGCTCGTCGTCGCCGCCCCGACGGGGCCTCGTGGCCGCCCGTCGTCTGGGCCCGGGTGTCGCTCTGGCGGCTCCGTGCTCGCCGTCGCCGCCCCGTCGCGGCCTTGTCGCCGCCCGTCGTCGGGGCCCGGGTGTCGCTCTGGCGGCTCCGTGCTTGCCGTCGCCGCGCCATCGCTGCCGTCGCCCCCCCCGTCGCGCCTCGCGTAAATTGCGCCTCATAGATTGCACCGTATAGCTTCTCCTTTGTAGATTCTCTTTCCTTACAAGAAGTTAAATTATACCCCCCCGGATTAGTCTGTTTGCCTTGTTGTATTACACTTTACACATAAATGCGTCTCCTCGCTCATTTTCTGAATGAAATCGCACACTCCCAGCCAAACTGGTATCAATTCGCCCCGTCATCCTTTTGTCAAATATGACTATGCGCGCACATTCGCTGATCACAAATCATCAATTTTCCGAACTCTGGCGCCGCAGGTGTGACAAAGTCCACGCCTGCGTCGTCGCGCGCGGATGCCGAAGTCTGTCCAAACAAAATTTCCCAGGTTCGTAAGGAATTCAAAATTGAGTGCCCCGAAAACATTTATTAACACGTGTTTGTGCAACAAGCCTTGTCCAAACAGTCTGCGTGGTTTTGTGCAGATTCTTCAGACATCCAGAAATCCGCCGACCCTGTCGGCGTGTGTGAGGGGCTTTTCCGTTCGAGCCGTCATCTCCACTCGTCGTCTCTGTCCTTCCCTTTCCCTGGGAGACCTCTTCCCCTGGGCTCCAGCCAAGCCGACCTTGAGCAACCTCGTAATTGAGTCGAAGGGAAGCCCCTTCCCTTTGATCCCTCCCCCGCCGGGAGGGGGGGGGGGGTAGCGACCCCCCCCCCGGGTCAGATACGACGCCCCCCCCTGGGACTCCTCTTCCCCTGGGCTCCAGCCAAGCCGACCTTGAGCAACCCCTGGGCTCCAGCCAAGCCGACCTTGAGCAACCTCGTAATTGAGTCGAAGGGAAGCCCCTTCCCGACCTTTCCCCCGCCGGGGAGGGGGGGGGAAGGACTGTCGACCCCCCCCCCGGGTCAGATACGACGCCCCCCCCTGGGACTCCTCTTCCCCTGGGCTCCAGCCAAGCCGACCTTGAGCAACCTCGTAATTGAGTCGAAGGGAAGCCCCTTCCCTTTGATCCCTCCCCCGCCGGGAGGGGGGGGGGGGTAGCGACCCCCCCCCCGGGTCAGATACGACGCCCCCCCCTGGGACTCCTCTTCCCCTGGGCTCCAGCCAAGCCGACCTTGAGCAACCTCGTAATTGAGTCGAAGGGAAGCCCCTTCCCTTTGATCCCTCCCCCGCCGGGAGGGGGGGGGGGGGTCGACCCCCCCCCGGGTCAGATACGACGCCCCCCCCTGGGACTCCTCTTCCCCTGGGCTCCAGCCAAGCCGACCTTGAGCAACCTCGTAATTGAGTCGAAGGGAAGCCCCTTCCCTTTGATCCCTCCCCCGCCGGGAGGGGGGGGGGGTGTCGACCCCCCCCCCGGGTCAGATACGACGCCCCCCCCTGGGACTCCTCTTCCCCTGGGCTCCAGCCAAGCCGACCTTGAGCAACCTCGTAATTGAGTCGAAGGGAAGCCCCTTCCCTTTGATCCCTCCCCCGCCGGGAGGGGGGGGGGGGGTCGACCCCCCCCCCGGGTCAGATACGACGCCCCCCCCTGGGACTCCTCTTCCCCTGGGCTCCAGCCAAGCCGACCTTGAGCAACCTCGTAATTGAGTCGAAGGGAAGCCCCTTCCCTTTGATCCCTCCCCCGCCGGGAGGGGGGGGGGGGGGGGGTCGACCCCCCCCCGGGTCAGATACGACGCCCCCCCCTGGGACTCCTCTTCCCCTGGGCTCCAGCCAAGCCGACCTTGAGCAACCTCGTAATCTCTTGCTGCGCATTGCGAACAGGGTCGGCGGCACCGGCCGTCAGGCCTTCGCAATATTTGTTTCAAGATTTGGATTAACTCCGACCGAGCTTGCCACGCGCGCGTGTCGAAATCATTCGAACGCCCTTGCGCGTGTGCTGCGGGGTCACGATCCGTGTCAATTAATGTCATGCGGGCCACTCCCGCGCGACGGCCGCGCGGGCATGTCAAAATCCGCCCTAAATTCCCACCGCCTACACGTAGACACCATCATCCTCACTGTCGTGATCAGGATCGGTGTCATTTTTTCGCCTTGCAGTCGTCACCATCCTCCGTCGTCACCGTCCTCGTCGTCACCAGTCGTCACCAGCATCGCTCGTATCATCAGCGCGTCTGCCCTTTCCGACGTCGCCCGCTCGAGGCCCCGATTCGCACTGACGCGCCCGAGCGTCAGCGCGGCTTGCAAGACGCGTCAACGCGTCTTGCAAACCGCGGTCAGTGCCAAATAGTGCCCGGCGGTCAGTGCCAACGCGGCCGCGTCGGTCGCGCCAGACTAGTTGGTCGTTGTGCGCGCGAGTTTGCACGCGCAAACGCATCTGCGGCGATGTGCCAGCCAGCGCCATGCAGCCATCGCAATCGCCCTCTCATGGGTTCTGCAACCAAGTTGCGATTGGGTGGGTGGGATGTTCGAACGATCGCGGAAGTTGGTCGAGCACCGAGCAGGCCAGTTAATTGTACAACATGTCTTGCGCCACATAGTTTGCACCACGTCGGTTGCGAAACATACGTCGCAACACATGTATGGTACCACATAGGTTGCACAACATAGATTGCTCCACGAATCCGACCCAACTTACATTGTGCTGCACCTATTAGATAACGCAGGCCGCACGAGACATACATATATACACATATATATATATATATAACTATTGTATAACATAGTGGGCACAACATATATATCACACTACACAGGGTGCACCACATAGGTTGCACCGCGTATTCCAAGGAGTCCCAAATGGGAAGGGCGACGACGACGCCGACGATGACCATGCGCACGAGGAGGATGAGGACCCAGACGCCCCCACAGACAGGCGCCCCTGAGCCTTATGTTGGGCGACGACTGTGTGCGCCCTCTGGACTGGTCTGCGCGTGTCGGGCACCGCGCCCCGAGACGAGGGCGGTGGGTAGAAGGAGGCGGTGGGGAGAGGGAAGCAAGCCCATCGTGCCGCCGTCATTCGGATGATCCAGTTTCATTGGGACATGATGGGGACATGCCGTTCCCCCGCTGACACGCCAGGAGGGGGGAGAGAGACGGAGACATAGAGGAGGACCAGAACGATTCGGGAGAAGAGAGCGAGAGAGAGGAATAGAGAGAGAGGGGGGAGGAGATAACGATTTATAAAGCAAGACAAAGAGAAACAGAGATACGTGAGGAAGAACGGGAGGAGGAGCAGGAGGAGGAGGAGAAGGAGGAGCGAGGAGGGGGAGGAGAAGGGGGCGTCTCATGACATGATGGTCTGTCCGCCAGTAGGTAAGAAAAGGCAAACCGAGAGAACGAACGGCGAATCGAAAGAGGGACCAGGCTTATTGAGAGGGCGTGCTCTGCAGAGCAGCTCTCGCACAAACCCAGCTTCCGGCGAAGTCGATGAGAATGATTGGGGTTGGGTGGGCGCTGAGGGGTTGAATGTGTGGCTTCGTTTTTCTTGGGTGTCTGGGCAACACCGCCTCGAGAGACTGGAGGCTCATTGATCTTTGGCGTGCCAGAAGCTCGAAATCAATGCGGCACAGCTCGCACTCGTGGATGTGCGGTGACCAGGTTCCGTTGTCCTTGCGTTACGGTTGGCCAAGGGCAAGTTTGAACTTCTCGGCGCCCCGCACGGCTGTCCTTTGCACGCACGCGTCTGAATTCCTTGGGATTCAGAAGAACAGCGTTTTGGAGCAGGGTCCAAGTTGAGGCAGCTTCTCTGTCGCACTCTTCTCCAGCTGTGTCTTTCGTACACCTCATCTACTCTCCTCTGCATCGGTTCCACGCCCAGGAGGGGACGCAGAGGGGGCGGCCTTCTCAGAAAACTCAGAGGGAGAGGCCCTCTGGCTTTCGGAGAAGCTTTCTGAAGCCTTCGCCGAAGCCACTGGGGGCGTTTCAGAAGACCGCTAGCCCCCTAAGAAGCTCCGTCGCCTTCTCTGAAGGCCTGCTCCGTCTCTCATATCCCCCTGCGACGCGCCGCCGACTACAGTCCTGCTCCTTCTCATGCAGCTTGCACCTCCTCGTCCTCTATCTTACGACCCCCCCCCTCACCCAAGGAACCGCAGGTGAGGGGGGGAGGGATTGATCGATGCCCTCGGGGGTTTCGTGTTTGCCCGCGGGTCCTTGCAATCGATCGCTGCGGGCGACCGCGGTGTTCCGCAGGCGGCCCCTCGGCCAAGGTTTCCCTTCTGTCGTGGGACCATGTTGATCTCGCAGAAGACGGCGGCCGTCTGTTCGAAGGACCCCCGCAACGGAACCCACAGCAGACTGGCCAGGAGCTGGTCGAGCAGACAGCCGTGAGTGGCATGTGGCACTGTCTGCCACGGCTCGGGGCCAGGCGTCGATCACCATCTAGGGCCCTTCCGCAGGGAGCGCGAAGATGACCGCGCGCTCGCGCGTTGCTGCCTGGGGCCTGAGAGATGCCCTCCTCGGGATGCAACTCCTCGGAGGGCAAACTCCTAACGCTTTGCGTACCACCAGCACCCTTTGCTTACACGGCGGTCGACCCGCTTCGCGCGCCCGCGTACCAAAAAATCCCCATCAACCCAACCAGAAACGTTGCTCAGGCGACTTGCTCTGATCACGGCAGAGAAGCGGCATGCAGTGGAACAAGCAGTGGATCATCCATGTCAACGGCCCAGATCCGTTCCAACGGAGTTCGCGATGCATGATGTGATGATTGCGTAGTGCGCATGCTTAGTGCGCGTATGTGTACGTGTTGCCGCCGCTGCTTGATGATTCAAACCGGTGTAGGGGCCCCCAAGCTGATAAAATACTACGTGCGAATACGTTCGACATGTTTTCAATATGGCTCCGATTCATGATGGTTCTCAACCTCGTGTTTGGGGACTTCGGTGTTTCCATGTGTGTGCTTCCGACAAATGTGGCGGAGCCAATCGGCTCCAGGTCCGCGGTCTAGAGGTCGAAAGGATCCGCCAAGCCTCGCATCCAACCGAGCCTTTGTGGAAGTGCTGCGCCCTGCTGGCGTTCCTCCAGGAGCTGGCCGAGGAAACCGAGAAGGAGCAGCGGCGGAGGAGGAGGGGCGCATACCAGAAGATGACGACAGCGAGCTGAGAAGTGACGGCCGACGCGTAGGTTGCGGCGGAGAACGACAGCCGCAGATGGACGGTGGACTGGCGAGGTCTTGCCCAGACGCGACGGACCTGAGACACGACACGTACAGGAATTTTCGTCGGCGGGCGACGGTGTTTCAAAGTCTGTGTGCGCGACGAGGACCCCAGGTGGTAAGTGACGAAGTTTATCCACTTTCCAGACATGGCAAGGCGATGCCTGGGACGCCTGCGACGAGATAAATTTCGACAGGTTGGGCACGAGCAGAACTCCCGATTAGATATTCGATAAAGTGGACGTGCTGTGCCGTTACACGCAGGAGGTCGAGCTCCCTGGGAGGCGCGACGCTATCGGAGAGTTCGCGAGGCAGCCGAAGAAGACACTCAACGCATACGTGCTGAGGCATGGCAAGTAGCTAGCGAGGTTGCGCGAGGCAGGTCCCGAGTTGCCCGAGTTGCTTGTGGGCTGGTACATGGTGATTAGAGCGGCAGTACCGGCATGGCAGACTCCGAACCTGAAGGCGGCTCGCTGCAACAACAAGTTGGCTGTGCCTGTCGTGGCGGAGGGTCTCAAGACGATGTCCGGAAGTGACAGCACCGCGCACAAGAAGGACATAGACAGGGAACTGCACACCTACAAAGGGGGTGCAAGGACGGTGAAAGCAACCGGGTGGACGACACCTGGGAGGGCGCGGAGGATGCCTTGCACGAAAATGACGAATATCTACATGATTACGATCAGAAGTGCGAGTAGGAGTGGTATGATGACGATGGACAGGAAGACTAAGTACCCGAGGTGCTGGAGTCCGCCTACGAAGTGGCGGAGGACGCATACGCGGCGCTGGCTGCGGCAAGGCCCGAGATAAACAGGCTGGCGAAAGTGAGATGTTTCTACCCCGTGATGGCGCTGATCGATGCTAGACAAGACAGGCTACCACCACTTCGACCGGGCGCGGCAAAGCCACCGAAAGGCAAAAGACAGGGTTAGGGCGGCGGCAAATCTCGCGGGGCGTCAAGCAAGGGCAAGGCGAAAAGCAAACGCGGTGGAAGGGGGCCCTTCGGGCTCCAGAGGCCTGTCGCTCCGCGCGAAAGACCGAGGGCATCTGCCACTGGGGCGACGCAGCAGCGCGGACCACGTTTCAATCGCCGACGAGATGGAGCAACGGAGGACGAAGAGGCGAAGATGTTGCGCAATTTCCGTTGCGGTATGACTGCTATCGAGGTCGCGCCCAACACGCATGGAGACGGCGTGCGATCTACCGCTTGAGGAGGTCAATCTGGCTACGGGAATCAGAGTTGGCGACATTGGTAAGACGAAACCGCCCTGGCGGCTGAAGCTGAACGACATGAGGCCTTGCGAGTGAGATCATGGCGGAGAGGTGCAGAGATGCGTTCAGGTCAGGCAACGGCGCGACGGCAAAATCGAAGCGGGCGGTCACCGCCCCGGTCTTGGTTAGGAAGACAAAGCGCTACATTGCGATCTACCACGTTCTGGGGGGAGCGGCGCCGCGGGCGGCGCGGCCCTGCTGGGGCACCGCTGCGGACTACCGCGACAAGAAGGTGACGCGCCTGGACGGCGCCCCTCGGGTCTGGGAAGACATCGAGACCGATGAGAGAGGCCGCGCGGCGACCGATCAGTTGAGTTCCCCGTGGCAAGTAAAGAGGAGTTAGACGTTCGGAGAGGAGGGGGAGTTAAGCTCGACCGACGCCGACGCCGACGGGGGCCGCCAGGTCCAAAGCAAGAAGGACGCGGACATCCACGCGACCAGCAGCCAGGGCCACGGCGAAGAGATGGCGAACGCTGAGGCGACGCCCGACTCCGAGAAGTTGAAGATGCGGTTCAGAAAGGCGAACATGATTCTCGGCGAGACGGCGACGACGAAGCGGAACTTTAGGGACATCTGCGCGGACGAAGGACGGAATGCTCAGCGCGGCGAGCGGCGCGGCGATTTCGCGACGGAGAAGTTCGCCTTTGACACAGCCTGGGATTCATTCAGTCAGCGCGCCGCGACGCGACCATTGCAGAGTTGAGGAAGGAGCGGCCAGGAGACGCACGGCCGCGCGCGCTGCGGCCAGCGATCAACATGGCCGACGACGCCAGCAATGACAACTGGCGCCGGCAGCGGCGACGGCGCGAACGAGACCAGCAGAAGACGGAGTTCCCACAGTTCAGCAGAGACTTCTACGCGGGGCCCGACCGCCGCGAGCGGAACGCGCACTTGCAGCACCCGCGCTATGCGACATCGCGGAGTACCAGCGCGTGGGCTGGCGTGACGGGCTACGACGTGTCCGCGGGCCAGCGCGCGCATGGGCCAGCGGCGCTCGGCGCGGCGGGCCGGCGTCTCGAGCCGATCAAGTAGGCGACGAATGTGCGAAGCTGCCGACGACTGTGCGAATGCACGCAAGGCTGATTTTCTGCCATGGGGTGATCGGAATATTGTTTCGGCAGCGGGTTGCAGGGTGCGCCAAATCACGCGAGAAGGACATGTCGCGCGCGCAGCGCCGTTTGGGCACGCGGCTGCACGCGCGAAGAACAACGCATTCACGTGGTGTATACTCCGGCGCGGCGCATCGGCAAAGAATTCCCGGGTGGATTCATCGTTTTCACGCGCCGCCAACGCGCTGCCAAATTGGGTGCTTCACCGCCGAGGGCGGCCGCCATCTGCGCGCATGACCACCCGGCAAGCGCGCGCGTTTGGCGGGGGCAGGCAGCGGCGCTCTTGTCGGGGCGGTCGCGCGCAGGATTTGCCCTGTCCCCTTGCCGCCCGGCGGCGGCGTCTATTTTGGGGCCCCGCGCGGACGACGAAGTGCCACATGCGCGGGGGACTTCGCAGGCGCTGC